CGGCCCCCCACTTTTCCCCACTATAAACCCATCTCCCCAAACCCCGAAATTCCCCTAATCCGCTCCCCCAGACCCCCTTTCACTTTTATCCCCCCCCTCCCCCGGACCCCCATTCACTTACCCCGGGCCCCCCCGGCCCCCCGCATTCACATACCCCCGCTCCCCGGGAACCCCGCATTCACAATTTTTCCCCTCCCCCGGGAACCCCCGCTTTTAAACCGTACCCCCCGCTCTCCCCCCAACCCCGATTCACAAAAAACCGCTCCCCCTCCCCCCCCCCCCCGGCCCCCGGGCTTAAACCCTCCCCCAAAACCCCGTTTAAATTTTTCCCCCTCTCCCCACCCCGCATTCACATTTTCCGGGCTCCCCCCGGGCCCCCCGCATTAACTAATCCGCTCTCCCCAAACCCGCATTCACTATATCCGCTCCCCCCGGCCCCCGCATTCACATATCCGCTCCCGCCCCGGACACCCGGGGCTTTTTCATTTTTTTTTTTAAATTTTTAACTATACCCCGCTTCCCCCCGGACCCCGCTTTTCAAAATTCCGCTCTCCTCCACCCCCAGTCACTAATCCGCCTCCTCCCCCCCCCCGCTTTAAACATCCCCCCCCACCCCACCCGCTCTCCCCCCCGGGAAAACCCGCATTCACCGTATCCCTCCCCCGGCCCCCCCGCATTCACTAAAACCCCCCTCTCCCCGGCCCCCGAATTCACATTCCCCTCCCCCCGGGACCCCCGCATTCACTAAAACCCGCCCCCCCCCCGGACCCCCCTTTCCCACTATATCCGCTTTTCCCCAAAACCCCGCATTAACTATTTTCCGCCTCCCCGGCCCCCCGATTCCTATACCGCTCCCCCGGGAAACCCCGCTTTTCACTAAAATCCCTCTCCCCGGGACCCCGCATTCACTTTAAAAAACCCGCCCTCACCCCGGCCCCCCAAATTCACCGAAACCCCCCTCCCCCCGGGAAACCCCCGCTTTCCCACAAAAAATTTTCGCTCCCCCCCCGGAACCCCGCATTCACCATATCCGCTCTCACCCCGGACCCCGCATTTCCACCTATATCCGCTCTGCGTCCCGACACCCCGCATTTCACTATATCCGCCTATCCTCCGCGGAACCCCGCATTCACTATAGTCCCCGCTCTCCACCCCGGACCCCGCATTTCACTATATCCAGCGTCTCTCTCCCGACCCGGACCCCGCATTCACTATATCTGCACGCACCCTTTGCCTATGAATGTATATATGTGTTGAATGTACAGGAAGGAAAATGCATATTTGATCCCATGCTGAATTGTTTTGAAATGTATAATTATATGGGGCGCGCTTGTTGTGAGCCCAGACCTCTGTAGATGTAGGATAAAGGTGCCAGATGTGATTATCAGGGAATGGTATGGATATCAGGATTGGATGGATGGATGGGAGCAGTAAACACTGAGGCTGCTCTTCTTAGAGTGGAAGCCGCGGCTCTAAATGCAGTAACAAGAAAAAGAGAGGAGGTCGCCTCAAAGCTTGCAGTGTGGACAATTGTATTTGGTTAACAATGGATATAATGGCACTTACAAGAATGAATAGTAACTAGACTCATCATGTGGTATAGATCCAGGAGGAGTATAGATCCCAGCGTGGGGTATAGATCCATGTAGGGGACATCCCTCCGTACCAGCAGCGAGACTCTGTCTATAATGATCCAGGAAGTAGGGTCCCATTGAGCCACTGCTCTCAAAGATGCATTACCGCCCCCCTTCACCTCATTACAAATCCAACTCTGCTCTCCAAGCTTCATTTTTGATTGCACACCTGGACTCTACTTTCCTGATCCTATATAGAGTCTGCTGCTGGAACGCAATTAATTAACATTCCATGTTAGACCGATTCCGTTTCTGTGTGAGGGGCGAACATTCCCATTGTTAGACCGATCGTTCTGTGTGAGGGCGAACATTCCTCCTTGTTCACCCGATCGTTACTGTGTAGGGGCGAACATTCCCAGTGTTAACCGATCGTTTCTGGTGTGAGGGGGCGAAACATTCCATTGATAGAAACCGGATTCGTTTCTGTTGGAGGGGCGTACATGCCATTTGTTAGACCGAATCGTTTTCTTCTTGTGTGAGGGGCAACCATCTCCATTGTTACCACCCGATCGGTATTCTGTGTGAGGCGAACATTCCATTGTTAGACCGATCGTTTCTGTGTTGAGGGGCGAACATTCCATTGTTAGACCGATCGTTTCTGTGTGAGGGGCGAACATTCCCATTAATTAAGACCGATCGTTTCTGTGTGAGGGGCGAACACTTCCATTGTTAACCGATCGTTTTCTGTGTGAGGGGCGAACATTCCATTGTTAGACACCGATCGTTTCTGTGTGAGGGGCGAACATTCCATTGTTAGCCCCCGATCGTTTCTGTGGGAGGGGGCGAACATTCCATTGTTAGACCGCATCGATTTCTTTGTGAGGGGCGAACATTCCATTTTAGAAACCGATCGTTTCTCCTGTGTGATGGGCGAACATTCCATTGTTAGACCGATCGTTTCTGTGGTTGAGGGGCGAACATTCCATTGTTAGACCGATCGTTTCTGTGTGAGGGGCGAACATGTTACCCCATTGTTAGACCGATCGTTTCTGTGTGAGGGGGCGAACATTCCATTGTTAGACCGATCGTTTCTGTGTGAGGGCGAACCATTCCAATGTTAACCGATCGTTTCTGTGTGAGGGGCGAACATTCCATTGTTAGACCCGATCGTTTCTGTGTGAGGGGCCGAACATTCCATTGTTAGACCGATCGTTTTCTGTGTGAGGGGCGAACATTCCATTGTTAGACCGATCGTTTTGTGTGAGGGGCGAACATTGCCATTGTTAGATAGACCGATCGTTTCTGTGTGAGGGGCTAAACATTCCCATTGTAGACCGATCGTTTTCTGTGTGAGGGCGAAATTCGCATTGTTAGACCCGATCGTATTATATCTTCTGTGTGAGGGAGGGGCGAACGTTCCATTGTTAGCACTCACCCCCCGTCCGTTTTGTCTGGGTGAGGGGCGAACAATCCATTGTTTACCGATCGTTTCTCCTATCTGAGGGGAGAACATTCCATTGTTAGACCGATCGTTTCTGTGTGAGGGGGGAACGTTCCATTGTTAGACCGATCCGTTCTGTGTGAGGACGAAACATTTCCATTGTTTAGACCGATCGTGCACGTGTCTGTGGGGGGCGAACCATTCCATTGTATTAGACCGATCGTTTCCTGTGTGAGGGGCGAAACACTTCCATTGTTAGACCGATCGTTTCTGTGTGAGGGGCGTGCGAAACATTCCATTGTTAGAACCCGATCCCCCGTTTCTGTGTCTAGGGGGCGAACATGATTTCCATTGTTTTAGACCACATTTCTGTGTGAGGGGCGAACATTCCATTGATCTTAGACCGATCGTTTCTGTGTGATGGGGCGAACATTCACCATTGTCTAACCGACCTCGCCGACCTTCTGAGTGAGGGGCGAACACTCCCGCACCCATTGTTAGACCGATCGTGTTCGTTAGTGATTGTATAGGGCAACCATTCCATTGTTAGACCCGATCGATTCCCATCTGTGTAGAGGGTCAACAGTACCATTGTTAGACCGATCCGTTTCTGTGATGAGGGGGCGAACACCAACATTCCCCCAGACGACCGAATCGTTTCCATTCTGTGTAGGGGCGAACATTCCATTGTTAACCCGAACGTCCCCTATCATTCGTGGGTGAGGGGCTGCAGAACATTTCCATTGTCCCAGACCGATCGTTTCCCTCTGTTTTGAGGGGCGACACGTTCCATTGTTAGAACCTAATCGTTTGTGTGAGGGGCGAACGTTCCATTGTTTAGAACCGACATCTTTTTTCCGAGTGAGGGCGAACGTATTTCCATTGTTAGACCGAGTCGTTTTCCCTCCCCCCCGCCCCGACACGTCTCCACTTGTTTAACCGATCGTTTCCTGTGAGGGGAGAAGACGTTCCATTGTTCAACCGAGTCGACTTTTCCGTGGTGATTGGGCGAAACGTTCCATTGTTAGACGCCCGATCGTTTCCCGTGTGAGGGGCGAACATTCCATTGCCCCACTTTAGACCGACCCCCGTTTCTGTGTTGAGGGAAAAATCCATTGTTAGACCGAACCAGTACGTTCTGTGTGAGGGGCGAACATTCCATTGACAAAAACCGACTCGTCTTCATCTGTGAGGGCGAACATTCCATTGTTAACCGATCGTTTCTGTGTGAGGGGTGAACATTCACCATCCCAGGGGGGGCAAATGCACATTTCCTGCACGATATATATGGACGTATAATTGTATGATGTATTTGCCCCTCCCGGCGATGTTTCATCGATTCATAAACCACAGATAACAACCCCGTATTCCTCCCGTCCCCCTGCAGGTGTTGGAGTCCGCCGAGGTGTTGTCCACGGACACGGACAGTAGTTCTGCAGAGGACAGCGACTTCGAGGAGATGGGGGAAAGAACATCGAGAACATGCTGCAGAACAAGAAGACGAGCTCCCAGCTGTCCCGGGAGAGGGAGGAGCAGGAGAGGAAGGAACTGCAGAGGATGCTGATGGGGGAGGACAGCGGGAACGACAAGGACCGGAACAGGAAGGACAAGAAGGACAGGAAGGGACTGTGTGAGTGTCTCCGCCTCCATGACACCTCTGACCTCTAATACTGGGTCGTGTAGTCACCGCTCTCACCGCTGACATTTACAGTCCTGTGATTGGTCTGCCATTGCTGAAGACTTTGGGAGGATTTTCTAAGATTTCTTGCGATTTCCATTATATTTTATGTTGTGTGAAATCGCAGAAAAAGTTAGCAAATCCCACGTGTTGTGACACCGACATTCACATTCATTACATGCCCAGATCACACCGGAAATCACACCGGAAATCACACCGGAAATCACACCGGAAATCACACCGGAAATCACACCGGAAACACCGGGAAATCACACCGGAAACTCCGGAAATCACACCGGAAATCACA